CTCCCTTTAGAGATATGGGCCGAAACGTCAAGAGATCAAACTTACTGTTTTTCTTGAGCGTCTAAGTCTCTGACGAGCGCGTCACGTTTATTAACGAGAATAACGAGTTCATCTAGCAAAAGTTGTTCTCGTCTCTTTTGGGCCTCAGTCTTTTGCCAGTCTGAAAAGAAAAGAAACCCAGAAAGGTGTACCTTAAAAGTTTAACTCATATATGATCTGTGCAAATCAGCACCAGGTTTTGGCACTTCACAACAGACACCTTTTCCTTTCCAGGAACCACTAGGGGTTGAAGAATGTCACTAATCATACAGTCCTCTGGATTAAACCACCAAGTCCTTCATTTGACTTCTTTAAATGGCTGCTTGAGAAATCAGGTATGTTACTTTATCATTGTCCAATATATACCTTTTAAAAACACCTATGTTAGATTTTCGGGTAATGCGTATAAACCACTCAGTTTTAAAATACCGTGTAAACACAGATACAAATGGAATGGAATTTATTTTACGATTTGCTGTTTTGAAATTGGAAACGCTTTACGATGTGCATTATTTCTTTTACCCCCCCTTTTTTTACTTCAGAGTGTCTAGGTGCCCAACAACTCCCTGCCCTACTGTGTGCTTAGAGATTTGTCTCTCAATCAGGAAAAAAAAAAATTATGGCGCAACCCCCCAAAAAACAAAACCCCGAAGCAAATACAAAAAACACACAACTCCTTTCCTTGATCCAATTCTAACTCCCTCTCTCCTCCAAATAGCCTATTCTTTGCTAATTTCTTCTTTGCTGCATCTTAGCTGTTCCAAAATAACTCATACTGGGCACCAGATGTTTCAGCATAACTTTAGGTATCAGATAATTAGCATTCCCCCCCCCAGGTAAAAATACATCTGCTAGACAATATTACTTAGCTGCTTTCTAAACAGCGCGGACTGGTATCTTTCATAACAGCTGACGGAACTATTCCAAATCTGTCGGCTAAAGTCAGCCTCAAAAAAATAATCATCATAATAAAGGTACAAAAAATCTGTCTCGATCTCTCGCTTTTTTATTTCCCTTTCGTCCCTGACTCCGGAATGTCACTGAAGAATGCTCTCCCTCTCTCTCACCTATATAGGTCCTGTTCCCCCCCCCCTTTCGGCAGCGGATTGTTGTCTGTCACTTCCCATAAGCCAAATAGTATCAGTGTTTCATTAAAAAAAAGGGCAGCTTTAACACTGGAACACTCCCCAAAGCTCCCCAACCCGAAGCTCTCCGGGCCAGACTGCGAGGGCCTGTAGCTGTCAATCAACTGCCAGTCTGCCCCGCCTCCCTCATTAGGAAGGCAAACAATGGAAAGGAGGAGAAGTCCATGATGATGGAGGGAGATAGTGGAACAAGTGAGGAGCGGGGAGGGGAACAGGACACCAGCTTAAAAAAAAAACACAAAAAGGGTGGGTGGGAGAGAAAAAAAATACACCCCTCCTGACTCACGCCGCGTCCTCTCCTCTATCCACTTTCCAAAAAAAACAGAAGGAAGAAATGCCAGCCCTTATGGATTTCTCTCTCCTCTCCCCATTGCCCTGGGCAATCATGTTAAAACTCACATGGCTGGTGCTTATTCAGATAAACCTAACAATGCAGACCAATGGTTACCATGTGAATCTTCAGGAGCCACACAAGAATGTGCTGGTTCAAATCCCTCTGAACCCCCCCCCCCTCCAAAGCAAAATTTATTCAAGGCAGCAAACTGTTCAAGGAGCTTTATGAAAAGCGAGTGGGTGCTAGAGTGAATTCGGCCGTGTATTTACAAATTAAAAATTAGATGCAGCCTCGTCCAATAAAAGGGCTGGAACAGAAGTAAAAAAGCCAGGGATCGAGTAAGGTATTATTTTAAAGCGCCTCCCTGGAAAGGCGTTGTATGTGCAGATTCACAAACTCCCGGAGAGAAAATAAGCAAGATCTGTAAAAACCCCCCCCAAAACAAACCGCTGTGCCCTTGCATAATGCATGGATAAGAAAAGACCCTAACAAGATTCTTAGCATGATTTTTTTCGTGTTACTACCGTTGATGTTGCAGCTATTCAACACTTAGCACCAGAAGACATTAGAAGCCCCCCCCAAATTCTTGATTTATTAGAAACCCGTTATTTGTTGAAATCTTGCATTTCAGTGCCTATCTCCAGAACCACAAATCAAAGCCAAGACCACTAACATTTATGGAGGCTGAATAAAAAAGAACAACCCCCCCCCGAACACACTTTCCCCTCCATAAACGGCCCCTAACATATTGAATTTGAAATAATCCTGTACACGTCAGTGCAATTCATTTCCATGTAAGCGTGTTTAACAGAACTGCAATCAAAGTGTGTTTCCATTTAAACAAAGGCTCCTTTTATGGAACAAATGTGTACAGAATTACTTGAAATTTGTTAATTAAATGGATGGTAATCAGACTTAAATTTTTTCATCCCCCCCCCAACACTTCATGACGAGTTACATATGGTATTTTGGAAATCACACACACAAATTAGCCTGGCCCTGTCTTCTTGTTAACAGAGAACAGAAGGTCGCTGTCTCAACTGATACCAATCCATACCTTCTTGTCCTTGGAAAAGACTGCATTGGACATAGTAATTGTCACACGTGCTGCTTTCTATATTTTGTTTTAGGTAAAGAAAGCAAAGACATCTCACCCCCTCTAAGCAGCACAAGGTGTTAGATGTAGAAACAGCCGAACAACTTTGCAGTTTGTTTTGGGGCTCAGTTCCTGCAGTGGTGGAAACCCAGGTGGAAAGAGAAACGGACCAGATTCCTTGCTCTGGCAAACTCTGTCCTTCTCCTTTGGCCTAACATATGAACCACATCACTATAATTTCCCCGACTGCAAAGATCTATTATTATTTTTTTTAAAAGCTGAAGAGGTTGGTGTACTAATATATTAGTTTCTGATTTTTTTTTTCACATGTAAAGGTAGGTAAAGGTTTCCCTTGCTTGAAAGCCAGTCGAACCTAACTCTAGGGATGCAATGCTCATCTCCGTTTCCAAGCTGAAGAGCCAGCGCTGTCCGAAACACTTCTGTGGTCATGTGGCTGGCATGACTAGACGCCCGAGGCGCACGGAACGCGTGTTACCTTCCCACCAAAGCGGTACCTATTTATCTACTTGCAATTTCTTGCTTTCGAACTGCTAGGTTGGCAGGAGCTGGGGCCAGAGACGGGAGCTCACTCCGTCATGCGGCACTCGGGTCTCAAACTGCCGACCTTCCGGTCTGCAGTTCACCACTTGAGCCACCGCATGGAGCACTATCTTAATTTTGGATGCAAGTCCAAGTGACTTGGCTGATTTCAAATGAACTTACTTCTGAGCAAGATGTCTAAGAACAAGGGTTGTCAAGCTCCAGGTAGAGGCCGGAAGTTAAAACCAGTCTCCGGGTGACAGAGATCAGTTCCCCTGGAGAAAATGGCGGCTTTGGTGGATGGACATCAAACGTTAACGATGCTAAACTCCACTGAGGTCTCTTCCCCTTCCCAAACCATGAAGTTCCACCACCAATATCTCCAGGTATTTCAGACCCAGAGTTGGCAACCCTATTAAGAACGGAAGTTCTAGTGCTCCTTCACGAGCAACCCCCATCCATTTATACACCCGTTTGGAATTAGACGCTACTGACCAAACTGCAAGGGGGTGCTCATAAGATGTGATTTTGAAGTTTGGAAAGATTGGGGGGGGGGGGGAAATCCCCTTTGCAAAGCTCCCTGCCACAGCAAGCACAATTGTTATCAGGGGCCAGGGGCCAGGTCAAAGAACTGTGACACTTGTTTTGGGAATTCGAGTAGGCTTTAGACTTGTTCCACTTCAAACCGGCAGTTTTCCTGCTGCCCCCTGCAAACTGCCTTTGAAATGGAAGATGTTTTGGGATACGGCACAAAGTTTTCTGGTCAGCGATTCAAAGAAAAAAACTCACACAATCCATGGGCTTCCTCGTATGAGCCTAAGCCGCTCTTTGGATCTTGGCCACTATCCTTACCCTTGTCATGCTCGCTTCCTTACATATCAATACATCTAAGTCTCAACATGGCAAAAAAGTTCAAAAATATCAGAATCATCACCTGTAGCTTTAAGAAATAAATGTCCTAAGTGGCCGTTGCTAGGCAGCTACAACAGCCTTCAAGCCTTGGTTGAAGGCAGGGGGAGCGGGGAAGGCTCTTTCCAGGGCTGTTTTGGGCTTTGATGGAGGATTCATTGGGCACAGACCTAGCACCAACCACTGGGCAACTTGATACCACATGACTTGCATGACTCACCCAAGCCGGGTTGCTTGCTGCTGTTCAACAGCAGCCACCTCAGAACTAGGGTTGCCAAGTCATTTTCGAGCCCCAGCGGGGGACTCCTGTCCTGCGTCTGGTGCGCATGCACCGCACGCATGTCACCCCAGAAGTGATGTGACGCCGCCGGGCACGCTGGGGGCGCTGCCACGACCATCCGAGGGAAAACCATAGAGTTTTCCCTCGGATGACTGTGGCCCTGCCCCCAGTGTGCCCGGCATCGTCACGTCACTTCTGGGTGACATGCATGTCGGGGTGGGGTTCTCCCCGGGGCCCGATCCGCCGCTGCCACGGAACAGGCCTCTGGGGAGGGGGGTTTCCCCGCCCCCCGGGGGGACTTGGCAAGCCTGCTCAGAACAGTCAGTATAGTGTTGGGGTTACAGTTTCAGATTAGGATCTGAGAGACCCAGGTACAAATCCCCACTCTGCCATGAAAGCTCGCTGGGTGACTCTGGGCCAGTCATCACTCTCAGCCTAACCTACTTCACAGGGTTGTTGTGAGGATTAAATGGTGGAAAGGAGAATGATGAAAGCTTTTGGTCCCCAGTGTGGATACAGGCAAGGAATAAATTAAGAAAATAAATAATATCGATGAAGAGGGGGAAGACAAAAGGAAGCTTGGCTGGTAGGGTTGCCAACTACCAGGTCGGGCCAGGAGATCTCCTGAAATTACTACTGATCTTCAGACTACAGATATCAGTTCCCTTGGAGAAAAATGACTGATCCAGAGAGTGGACTCTATGGCGTTCTTGTTGGGTATTACAAGTTGAAAACACGCAGTATATCTGGGGTTAAATGTTTATGTTACTCACAGGAAGTCACATGTTTCTCATGTAACCAATGTTCTTTAGATGTAGGAAGCCCGGGAATTTTCTCCCTGATCTAGGGATTTGATTGGGACCAAAGTGTCAAGGTATATTACCATTTTATGGCTTCTCTTCCCGTCTTTGTTTGGTGTTCTGAAGAACAAGAAGAGTAGCCATATTCACTCATCTTCTAGTTTTGTCTTTGTAGAGTAAGGATGTAGCCGATTTTGCTCTGTTGTTATTTTCATCCCAGTTACCCTTCCCATGCTAGAATTTAGTAAAAACTTTATATTTTAATCACACATGGACTCTCAGTCTGAATTATTTTACTCTGGCTCTGCTGGACTATCTTATCTCTGCTAAATACCATTTTTTTCAATATCTCACTATCACCCAACAGTTCTACCCACTGAGATCCCTCCCCTTCCCAGGCTCACCCCCAAATCTCTAGAAATTGCCCAGTCTTGAGTTGGCAACCCTATTGGTTGGTGGGGGAGAGGAGAGAAGGAAGCAGGGGATTGTTGAGAATAGCGAGGCTGCCAGGAGGAGAGAAAGAAAAAATAGTGTGTGGGGGGGATACAGGGAAAAATGAGGTGCCCCCACAAGTCTTTGCAGGTTCCCCACCATGCAATTGTGTCTAGCCTGGCCAGCACCACAAAACTGGACCCAGCTCAGCCAGCACCATGCAACTGGGCCTGTCTGGATGATTGGCACTATGCCACTTGGCCAGAGTTTTCCTGGGGAGAAGCTGCCAGGAGGAAGCGAAATCTGAAGACAGGAGGGCAGCTTAAGGTAGGTTGGCTGTGGGGGGGGGGCAGAGAAGGAAGAGGGAAATGG